GAGTGTAAATAGGAGGTGAGCTGACACGGCTCTGGGGTGTTCTTGTGTTGTGTCTTCATGTCAGACAGTGTATTTGTAAAAAGACAGGTGAATAAGAGCAGGCCCAGCGTACAGCATCGCCAACTTTGAAAAGGAAGAAAACAACACACCAGTGTTTTTTTATTTACAGATGTGCAACGTTTCAGCCATGGGCCTTACATATGAGTTATAGGTTATAACAACAGGAAAAGAAAAAAAGAACATCTTCAAAGACTTAATAAGTATTTACTTAAGTAAGTAATCTTTGTTTATATAGCGCCTTTCACAGACCAGAGTCACAAAGCGCTTTATAATTGTACATGTTTTTAGAGGTAGGAGAAACGGGAGCACCCGGAGGCAATCTATGCAGACACAGGGAGAACATACAAACTCCACATAGAAAGGCCTGGAGGTGGAATCAAACTCAGAACCTTCTTGCTGTGAAGCACAAGGGCTATGTTGAATAAAACATGCAATAAATACATGAATTACAAAAGTGTACATAATCCAATGGATATAGCTGACAGTACTCAAAGTCACTCAAACCACATACAATCACTTATATCCACCACAATCCCAAAAAACCACAGAGACCATGTCATAAGAATACATTGAGCACCAGTTCATCATTTAAAGGTATAGACGATTCTCCCGAATTGGACGCCTTCTCAAACACGTGCAAGAGACATGCACGAGCATGCTCCTCGTGCACACTGTTTACAAGTTACTGTCTGCATCGCTCACTTTCAGCCACAGTGACATGTGTCTTTGGTGAGTACTGCTTTAATCTTTACTATTGAATTATGAACACGAATGTTGTGATCAATAACAGGCATGAGGCCGTTATGTCTGCCACAGACGTTTGTTTATAACCTTGTTATCCGCCATGGTTGAACTCAGTTTGTACCGAGCTGAGCTACCGCTATGGGTCTTTTCAGTTTTAGGTATATCATGACACTTGAAGCAACTTGGCTAAAGTTCTAACTCATCATTCTGACATATGCATAAGCCAGTACTTTTCCACTGCATGTTTTGGTTGTCTCAAGGTTGAAGCCACTGGCACCGTGGCAGCTGCTGATTGGAGGACTCCATTCCTCCATGCTGTATAATACACTTGCATTCTGTAACGTTTGTGCTTGTGTTCGTGCGTCTACCATCAACAATAACACATGTCTTCTGTCTGAATTAAAGACACGATCGCAGACTTTGTCATCTTCTTCACAGTCTATTAAGTTATTACTGCATGTTGTGTTTTATCTTTAGGGAGAAACCAAACCCAAGGATTAAATATTAAAGCTACAGAGAGGAATCAGACTGATCTGGTTTTAATTGAGTATATATTTTGTAAATTCCATACTACGAGCCTCCTGTTTAAAATTATGTATATGTATATACATTTACTGTTGATATTACAAATGTGAAATATTGATGCGTGTGCATGTCAGAATCAGAATCCTTGAATTGTCATGTGAGTAACAAGAAGTCACAAACTAGGACATTTCTTTGGCTCTCAGTGCAAACAAGTTAGAGCAGAATAAAATAAAAAGGCATGCATACATAAAAATCTACATACATTTCTTTAGTTTACCATATACAAGTGCACAAGGTGCACACTATAGACCGGTAGAGTGCAGTAAAGTGGCAGTAGCATAAAGTGACGGTCAGAGGTCAGTGATGGTAAATGAAGTTTGCATGAGTTCAACAAAGGGGAAGAAACTGTTCTCATGGCGGGAGGTTCGGGTTTTGATGGGCCGTAGTCTCCTGCCCGTGGGGAGTGGTTAGAATAGTCCATGTGCAGGATGAAAGGGTTCAGCATGCAGTGATACGACCAGCCGGCCTCGAGCGATGGGAGGCTGCGGCCGATCACCTTCTCTGCAGAGCGCATGATGCACTGTAGTCTCTGCTTGTCCCTGACTGTGGCTCCATGTGAATGTTTGTAAAGACATTCTACTTCCGCTCCTCCTCAGAACGTCAGCCTTCAGGCTGTTTCTACTCTACTACTGTGTATTTGTATTTATTCATTTATTTGACACGGACAGTACATGTCAATGAACATATGGTTGATCATATATGTCTGATTGTAGCAAAAGGCTAATTTTCTTCTGTAGGTCCAGGAGGACAGGGTTTGTTTTAATTCATGATTCATTAATTAATTTTTGAGTTAATTTCTTTCCCAGAGACATCTGACCTCCAGAGGCCATCATTTCTTCATCCATCTCCATCACCTCCAGCTTCTGTGGATTATAATACAAACTACAACAAACAAGGACCAATATTTTCATTTGTTTATTAATTACAAGTCATGGATAGTTAAAACACATCTCCCATGTTCTGAAGACATATGCAGCAGTGACAGCAGCAGAAGCAACAACAGCAGCTGCCTGGACGTCTGCCTCTGACATTGTGCTAATCACAACCTGGGAAAAAAATTAATAAAAAAAGAATATGATTTAGTTCTTTGTGTCTGAAGTGTGAGCATCTTTGTGTGTCATGAAACGTGATGTATGTGTTTGTTTTATCCAACCACAGAGTGAGCAAAATAATAGCTTTCATTAAGTACTTGTCATTGAAAACAATATGACCAAGTCTGGGATTGTGTCTTTAATTCTGACAAAGATTGCTTCCAATGTCTGGCATCTGCTTATCAAGGCCCTTCAGTCTTTTTAAAACAAAATCATGTTCGATTTTGCTTTTACGTCACAGGTATCTGTAACTATTGCACTCTTTCAAATTAAAATACAAAATATAATACAAATGTGCAACTTGTGGCAGGTTTTATTATTTGTACCCGTAGATTAGTTTTTAGTCTTATTATTTTGGCAGTTCGAGAGAGCAGGTCCCATGCAAACATATACAAAGTTTCGGCACCCCTTTCAATTCTTATTCAATTCACTTTATTCCTGTATAGCCCTAAATCACAACAGAGGACTTTACACAAACGTTGAATTCGCCAACACAGATGAGAGAATCAAACAGTTCAAACACATGAAATAGAACTGAAAACACATACACTGTAGGTATTGGTCCATAAGAGGCAGATGAGCAATGCCCATGAATGTAGATAAATGTCCAGAAATGTTGTTGAATATTTAGTGTCCTGGATCATCACCACAGTCCTTTTAGTTAGACCTACTAACAGTCTAACGGACCCTCCTGCATCGGCAAGGAAAAACCCAGTGGGAAAAGAGTGAATCCTCGGGGAGGTCCACATTAAGAGAGGGATTCCCTCCCACAGACTGACGGGTAATAGATCCAGGACTCAGGCTACAGCAAAAGGACCAAGGCGAGGGGGTGTAGCCCACGGGTCGGGAAAGGCTAACTTCCATCTGGGCCCTTTGTTTCTGTAGAGATGTGGGGGACATGAAAGCACATAGAGGTCAAGTTGCCAATATTAGCACTTATATGGGTTCAGGGATCCCATCATCACGCCATCGAACAGACAATGGTACAGCAGGTGAATAGTAATGAACAGAATACAGTTGAAGTCATAATGATAACAGATGAAGTAGAAAGGAAGAGATGATAGTGCTCAAGGGACAATACTTCTCCCAGCAAACTGACTCCATATGCTGGCAGTCAAGCTGACTGACACATTTAAGGTTGTATATGTTTTTAAGTCTTCCCCGAGTCTTACTTACCCAACAATATGCTAAATTAAAGAGGACTGTTTTAAGCCTGGCCTTGAATGTAGGGACTGTTAAGATCCTTGCTGCTGTATTTTGAACAAGCTGCGTTACAGTAGTCAAGCCTTGAGGTGACAAAAGCATGAAGAAGAGTTCAATTACAGCTTCAAGATTCCTCATAGTGTTGCTAGGTGCTGCGCTAACATTATCGAGTGTGATTTTCTGATCGGCGAGGGAGTTGCACAGACGATTCATGTTCACCCGGAGGAAACCTAGGCTTAAGACCTGCTTACCTGGCAACCCAAGATGGCTGCTGGCTGAATTGATTGTATTGATTCATATCTTTACCAGATATCAACATCACTAAAAACTTGACAAGTTTTCTGAAGATCAAATGATGCTTATTAGTACTGGATTATTTAATCACATCTTGTACATACGAACACTGTCTAAGGCCTGTGTTTGTTCGAGGCCTGTCGGAAGCCCCACCCCTCTTCAGACCGAAAAGGCAAGGAATCTAGCAAAAGATATGGAAGAAGTGAAACAGTCCCTGAACTTTATGTCAGGTGAACTGTTGAAGGTTCTGGTGCCACTACAGGTGAACTTTTTACACTCGAGCAACAATTAATGAAGTTCTTCAGTAGTGAAAATATCATCCTTGGCACTAAATACATTCCTGAGTTCCAATAATTACTACTAAAAGTGTTGAAATAAATACAATTTTAAAGGGTGCCTAATCGTATGCACATACCTTATTTGGTTGAACTCATTTCTGCACTCTTTCTGTGCATGATACAAGCTTCTCAAATATCAATGTCTGTCTCCTATATGATATATTTCACTGACATTTCATACTCAAACAACCAATGGTTTGTAAAGGAAAATCGTAAAAAATGAGAGGGGTGCCCAAACCTTTTCATACCACTGTACGTAAGTCTGAAAAAAAAAAATATACAATGAAACAAAAATCAATACAGTTTTAAGAACTCATTCATGTTTCAGTGGATCTGTTAGATAAGGAGAGAAAATGAGATGTGTTTATTTGGGGAATTTCTGCTGTCTTAGAAATGTAGCAGAGCCGTCAACTGGTCCAAGCCAATTTTCTCCAAAAGGAAACCAATAAACAAATCTTGAATCTTGAATTCATACTTTTTTCAGGCCCATGTGAAGGCTAATAATGTTTTATGGATAAAACAAACTTTGACCAATAGAGACATGTTTGTATCAGCACCATATTGACGAGTACAAGCACCTGGAGCTGGTATTAGCCCATCCCGAGTGTAGACTCATCCTGATCCTCAGAATTCTCTTTACAGACTGAACACTGCCCTTTCATCTGAGCCCTGTGTTTCTGCAGAGATGTGGAATAGCAGACAGAACCGGATGAAGTCCACATGTGCAAGGACTGAGGTGAGGAGGTGGGAGTGGGGGACATGAAAGCACAAGGGGTCAAGTTGCTATTATTTGCACTTACAGTATATGATAGTTCCATCTTTTTTTAGATAAGCCAATTCTGAAAACAGGTGTTATGTTAGTTGCTGTCATCCTGATGCTGTTTTGGCCCTTAAACTCAATATTGTGGGTAGCTACTTTGACATTTAATATTTCATGTTTGACTGGAGAAATTCCTTAACCCTTTAATACATTATTATTAAAGGGTTAAGGACCACTTTTTGAGTCACAATATCTACCTGAAGCTTGGAAATCTAGCTCATTGGGACATCTCTATCACAAAAAAAAAAAAAAAACTAGGGATGAAAAATAATACCATAAAAGCAAATTATTTGGGATAATGGTGCTCCTACATCTTAGAAAATCTAAAACTAAAACTAAAATAAGAATGTACATTGCTTTCTTCAAGTAAAAGTGAACATGAATGAGTTAAACTTTACAGGCAGAAAACAGCTCTGTTCTAAATATAAACTATAATGTAAACACGCCACTTTCATTTTTGCTCTCATTTTTCAATACTACGTTTTCAGGTTGCAAGAGTGCCAACACAACTGTTGCACATTTTGTCATGTTTACGATCACAAATATGAAGATCTTGTTTTTGACTTCCCTGATTTTGAGCTCCCCTACATGTGCTATTAGAGTCTTTGTGTCTCCATTTCAAAACTGGCTAAAATGTCGGCTGTGACAGCAGGATCCTACGGGTAAATCTGCAGTAAACAGTCCTGTTTCCACAGCCAACAGAAATATTTTTCCAACAATAGCATAAAAAGAAAGTTTTGGGGTTACTCATCGCTGTGCTTTTTTCTTCAATTATTTTATCCTCTTCTTTGCTTATCAATCAAATTTATATTTATTTTCTGTCTGACTAATATACAGTATATTACATATATTTCCCGGTAGTCTCTGTAAATCTGCCCACAGTACATCTTTACCTTTGGTCTCAATCAAAACTTAATTCTACTTATTGTGTTCAGAAAGAACTACCTATTATAACAACCTTTTACTTCTAATATTTGATCAAATTAACTACAAATATCAAAGATGAGCTATAAAATACAATTCCACAAAAACAATATTGAGTATATTTCCTCTTTCTGTTTTCTTTAACATGTACCTATTCCCAATACATTTACAAAAAAGTCCTAATAGCCAATTAGCGCATTAGCCTCTACCCCGTCAATTGTATTTATAATAAAAGAAAAATCTGCATTTGTCATGGTGTGGATTTTATTTTGGACTTTAGCTTTATTTTGATATCTGTTCTCTGTGCTTTGGTTGTAGTTTGACTTTGACGTCCTGTTTCCCCTGTCTTGATTGTCTACCCCGCCCTAATGTGTTTCACCTGTGTCTCTGTCTATAATTACCCTGTGCTCCTCTCCCCTTGTGGGAAAAAAAGGCAATCCACTGAGTCCATTAGTGGCTGCTTCATTCTGTCACGTGGTGAACTGAATGAGGACCCAAAATGCAGGAATGCCAAAATAAAAGGAATTTAATAATGAAAAAATAAAAGTGCAGGAGAAAACTAACTCAAAATCCCAAAGCACAGGGAACACATGACCAGGAACACATAACCAGGAACAGGACAGAACAAATGTTGACAAGACAATGAAGCAGCCACAAGGGGAGAGGAGCACAGGGTAATTATAGACAGAGACACAGGTGAAACACATTAGGGCGGGGTAGACAATCAAGACAGGGGAAACAGGACGTCAAAGTCAAACTACAACCAAAGCACAGAGAAATGATATCAAAAAAAAGCTAAAGTCCAAAATAAAATCCACACCATGACAGCATTAGCATCAAACTCAGAAAACCCATATCAATCAAACTCTAGTTGATGTCAGTGTTGTTGTTGCAGACCTGTGCTCAACCTCCGAGGGGAGGGCAGTGGATCCCTCGCTCGGCCATCAGAGGTCAGTTTGAAGATTGAGGTTGAAGAGTGTCCAGTTGCACAATCATAGATGTACCTAACTTCTGCACTGTGCCTAAAAATCTATCTATCTATATTAACATTGAAACTTTTCCACTCAAATCATGGGTACACACACACACAGAGAAGGGCACAACTGTGTGTACCTCACTCCTGTAGTTTGAGTCTGTTGCTGATGAGTCCCACCACTGTTGTGTCATCTGCAAACTTGATAAAGGAGGTTTAAGTTGTACTTTGGAGTGCAGTCATCTTTCAGCAAAGTGAGAGTGAGCAGTAGTGGCCTCAGCACTGGAGGTTCTGGAGGACTTACTAGCTGTGATCTCCCCAACAGCAAGTCTAGCAGCAATGTGTTGATCTCAGGTGGAGTGGGGAGGGTATCTACTGTTGAGTAGTTGGTTTTGAGATGCAAACTGGTATGGGTCCAGGCTGGATGGGAGGGTAGGAGTGCTATTGGGAGGTAGTCAATGAAGCAGGAGAGCTTCTTTGGTGCTGGAATGATGGTTTCTTTATGGCACATTGTGACAAAAGCCTGCGGAAAATGACTTGAGGATGGTGTGTTGTTCCAGGTGTGCTGCACGTGTCAATTGTTCGTGAGAGGTCCCTCGTCCATGTGCACGGTAAGACCTCTGACCTAAGATCCTTCTTTCAATGTGTGCTTTAATATTTGAGGGGTAAAACAGCAGGAATGGAAAAGTACTGTACTCAAAATTCCATGAAAGCTGGCTTAACATAACTGATTTACAGTGGCGAGCCGTGCATTTCACACCGAGGCTCTCAGTAGTGCTCGCCTAAATAAATCCACCTCTCAATAACTACTTAATGAGATGAAATATACTTTATTGATCTCACAATGGAGAAATTCAAGTTTGATGAATAAACATCAAGGCTGGCTGCGTAATATACTTTGCTCCTTATGGCAGTTATTCAACAGCAGATAACAAACATACAGGTACATATAGTTCACACAAACATTGTTTGGAGAGACACAGTACGTGAGGAAAACATGCAGATCTTTTTATGTCCCATTAAAACTTGGTGTAGAAATATGGCTATTTATACACCAAGAAGATCCGACCGTGCAATCTGATAGGTCAATAATAGCATTATCAAAGGATCGCAACATCAGCGCATCAACATATAAATCAGTCTACAGTGCATGAGTCTGTGTGGTTACCGTGGCAACAATAGACGCTTCCTGTATCGGAAGTTAGTAAACAACCACAAATCCTCCATGAATTTTCTGGAGGAGCAAGCGTTACTCAATCAGCACGTCATATTGAGAGCCCAGATTAAACGTTATATCAATGATCCACACTCAACAATGCAGCCCGGGCCGGATCAGACCGGACCACCAGCCCAAAGCGTCGGCTGGTAAAGGAAAATAGAGACAGCCCCTCCCCAAAAGGGTAGTCATAGCACTAATAAGTTTACCCAAACTTTCTTAACGATGTCCAGCTTTTCTTGAAAATGGCTTCAGTAATAAACCTTCAACCAAGTCAATTTCTTCTCCTCCTTCAGCCGTTGTACGTTGTAAATAAATACAAATATTGTTCGATTAGCAATGGATGCATTGCGTCTTGTAGCTAGTGCGCTCTCTGACTATCCAATCAAAGGGTGGAATACGCTGCTAGAAGGCCTTGGTGTCGTCAACTCAAAATCTGATTGGTTAAAGCAACAGTTCAGTTTTTTCTAGGATGCGCCAGAACTGATTCCGAAGGCCTCCAGGCAAATTTCTGACCCTAGCAACAAATGGAACTGAACTGAACTGTGATTGGATGAATACTGTTCTATGAATATACATGTTTGGAAGCAGCACAACCAGGGGGAAAGATATGAAAGGAGGAAAATAGATCATTTAGAGTCTTATTTTTGGAGAAGTATTAGTTAAAAAAAAAAGAAATCATGTAAAAAAATTATAATTCTAATTAAGTTTGTAATTCAGATATTTCTTAGGCCAGCAGAGAAGGCCTTGCTGGCCCTGACAGCCTACCACTGCTGATTTTATTGTAAAGTATAATTAGTCTAATGTGATCTACCTGTATGAACAATTTACTTTATTTTGAACGTACTGCTTTTTCAGATATTGCCCCCTATTCCGCCTTGTGCTTACACTAGAAATGTTGTGTGTATATTTACAACTAGAGGTTCTTTCACACAAAATGCTTCCTCTTATACTGCAATTAGGGGTTTCGTGTGTATATTTCCATGGTACAGTGTGTAATAATGAGCTGTAAATACACCAGATTGTATCTAATTTATATCTGTAGTCCCACACTCACACTAATTCAACCCTCACCTATTGTACATGTTTTTAGTGGTAGGGGAAACTGGAGTACCCAGAGAAAACCTACGGGGAGAACATGTAAACTCCTCGCGGAAATGCCCTGTCTAGAGGTGGAATCAAAGCCAGGACCTTCTTGCTGTGAAGCATTAGTGCATCCGCTTTGCCACTGTGCCGCTCTGAGACTGTTTGTTATGCTGCATAGAATGACCATTCTGGATGATCCATGCTTGTTAACGGCACGTATGTGAATAAATGACGAGACACAACGGCCCAAACTTCAGTGGCTATTAGGGGTGCAACGGTTTGAAAAAATCACGGTTCGGTTCGTACCTCGGTTCAGAGGCCACGGTTCGGTTCATTTTTCGGTTCATTTTTCTAAAAAAAAGTGGTGTCTTTTTAATAAACACAGCTCATGTGGACTCGGCACCTGCTCTGACTGCCCCCACCTGCCCTAGAAATGAATTAAGAGAAGGAAATGGATGGATGGATGGAAGGCATATTCCATCCATCCAATTATGTCTATTTAACATAATTAATGAAAAACAACACAAAGTGCAACATAAGAAGGCACTTTATGAGGATATTTACCCTCATATATTACACCACCTTCCTGATTCTCCCAAGGAGGGGGTCCATTCTGGGCCCAGCCTCATTCACTGCATTTATTTAATTTTTGGCATTATCAGTTGTGACTGGGATATTAGTACTGGGCCTTTGTCTTCCATTCCTCCGCTGTTGTGTCAGTACCTGCGCTGTGTGACTGTGTGACTGTCGTAGAGGGGGCGTGTCTGCAGCGCCAGACTTTTCATCTCCCAGTCTGCGGTGATGAACTGAGCGGTTCCGCTCATGGATCTATTATAGGTTCCGCGGGACGTCCAAGCGTCAGTCGTGAGCGCAGCTGAGGATGCGCGGGAGAGTTGACTTTAGCCGGTCTGACTGTGCGTAAAGGAGCTGCTTAAATGCCGCGACAATAGGTGGTCGTTGAGACGCTTTTTTCACTCATGTCTTTCTTGTGCCACAGTGCTTACACATCGTGACAGTTTTGTCGAATATTAATTATCAGTGTAGTTACAGTGAAGCCAAAATGCTCTCATACTGGGGATTTAAATGACGCAGGGCTTTCAAGCTCCTCCGTTCCTCCGCTCGCAATGACCGCGCTGTGTGTGGACTGAACAACGTGCGCACAAGTTTTTTTTCATAAATCAAACCGCGGATAACGTCTGTACCGAACCGAAGACGTTGAACCGAACGGATCACGGATCAGTGATGAACCGTTGCACCTCTAGTGGCTATACATCCCGCCCACAAGAAAACTGTAAAAAAACGCTTCTGCGCATGCGTCAGCCGGCTTAAGCTCCATTCATTTAAACGAGTGACTTCAAAAATTCACAGCGAGGAAACTACACTGGTCCAAAAAAATTCACTCCCCTCAGCCTTGACACACATGTGGAACGGAGCTTTGGGCCAAGAGCCAACTTTTGGTCCATCCTGTAAAGACGTTTTTGAGAGGTCTGCCAATGCTATATGTTAGCATTGGCAATCTGTCTATCTTATACTGTCTATGGTCGCCAATGATCTGTGTTTAACTGACCTCGAAGCACTGGGAATTAGAGTGCAGCAGGTTTTCTCGTTGACCCGTGTGGAACCGCACAACTTTGGGAAAAACGGCACAGCATTTTGTGATGTACTTTATAAACCTGATATGAGTGTGTGTGTTTGTCTACAGTACTGGAGGCTCACAGGCTGACACATGCACAACCACTCTACAGACAAACTGCAAAGGGATGTGAACATGGTTATTATGTCCAGGTAACTATCATCCCTGAGACACAACTAACATTAGAGTTCTTACACATCTACCTATTTTCTATTATCCTAGAAATGTTATGATAATGTTATGTTTGGAATGGTTAAAGGAAGAATATCAGGAGCAAGAGAAGGGGTGGCACTGCTCAAAGTGAAGTGTGGGTGCGAGGTGTAGGTGTTTGTTAGTGTGTAATAATAATAATAAATTGGTTTTATATAGCGCTTTATTGGACACTCAAAGTCGCTTTACATGTCATTATTCATTCACTCCATACACGGTGGTGATAAACTCCTACTGTAGCCACAGCTGCCCTGGGGCACACTGACAGAAGCGAGGCAACCAGCATGTGCCATCGGCCCCTCAGACCACCACCAACCATTCACACACACACACACCAGACTCATTCTAGGCAAGGACACAACGACAGAAGACAGTGGGAGTCGGTGGAGAAAGTCTTGAGGTGGGCTCGAACCCACGACCTTCAGGCTCAAAGACCAATGCTCTACCAACTGAGCTACTGTCGCCTCTATGGACCCGCTACTGAAAAGTTTCTGCAATGAACTGAGTGTAATTACTGAGTGTAACTGAGGTGAATCTGGTGTCTTCTGATGTGTGGGTGTGTCCCAAGGTGACCAAATATCCCAAGGTGACCAAATATCTGACATAAGTCACAGCCATAGGCAAGTAAGCATGAAAGGTTAGGATTTATTATGTAAAACACAAGTAAACGTTGCATTACGTAGACTTAAAGACAGAAAGTCTTTCTGGAGAATCAAAAACTTTATTCAAGTCTTTCTGGAAGAGCCTGTAGATGTTAATTATAATAAGAGGATGTACTGTAATACTGTATGTGTACTTGAAAGACTCAAATGTCCAGTATATTGTATCTATACTGTGCTGTGTCCAGGTGAGGATGAACTCCAGCAGGACTCAGAACATTGGGAGCAGCATACCCTCTGGTGATCACAGGTGCACGCTGTACGTCAATGGAGATTTCAAATAAACTTAAGTTTTGGAAGCAAGTCAAAACTGAGCTAATCACAGGAAGCTATCACAGGAAGCAATGGGCGCGAGTTAATGTAAAAGTCCTTTGACGTGCATCTTTGTCAAGGCAATATGTGTGTAAAGAAGCTGGAAGGCTTTTGGTTTAAAAAATGAGGTAGGTCACATGACCGACAGTCACATATTGAACCTGACATCAGAAAAACACAAAATATACAACAGAATGAAAATATGCGTGGCTAACTGCAAGGACACTGTGAAGCACAATCAGTGAGCTGAGACATAATCACTAAAACAACAGTACAACAAGATACTGTAAGTTCAGACATGTATACGCATACCAAGGGTCTATAAAAAAGGAGAAAAGTCAATTTCCTTAATGGGATGTACCATTGAGTTTATGTGTGAACTTTGTGTTGCATCATTGTGTAAAAAGGGTTTTATAAATAAAGACTGAAAGATGAACTGATCGGGGAAGAGCTTGTAAGTCCTCTGTGTGTGCAGGAGAGTGGGGGAGGAGCCTGGCCACAGCTGCAGACTGGTGCTGACTCTTATCAGGTCAGAGCCACACAGCACTTTCACACTCTGAACATTAAAACAGTATTATTACCGCTGCCAGAGGGTAATGAAACCCCCAGAGTTCGTCTCTCTGTTTGTTGGTTGGCATCATAACTCAAAAAGTTATGGGCAGATTTTTTAAATAGATTTTCAAAGTATGTTTTTATGGAATGGACTGGTGCCTTTTGACAAAGGACTGTGTTTTTATAGATATAATTTGATTTAATTTATTAAATAACATTTAAAGAAAAGTATAGTCTAACCTGTCGGACATCTGTTAAACTTGAATTACTGAATTTAATTAATATACTGTGAAGCTAAACAATGGGGGATAATTCAGTGTTGCAGTGCACATGACAGAACAGAAGAAATAAGATTAAGAGATCCATTATTCGTCCCACAGTGGGGAAATTTCAGTGTTGCTTCACAAGTTATAGAACAGCAGCTGTATCAATAACAAGTATAAAATCTTTATCTTGAACATAATAATAAAGAGTATAACATTTTACATTTGGCTAAATAAGAGGCAAGTATAAAGTACTGTGTATTCTAGTGCAAGCAGTATATAGTTATATGTTTGCATCTGTACATTAGCAGCAATATGTTCCATCTATTTATTTATTGTTTATTTGGTTGGAACAGTACATGTTAAAGCTGCACTAACTCGCTCTCCTGCTCCCCCTCCCCGCACTCACGAAGCAATCGCTGCAGCTAACTTTTTATGTTATGTTACATTTGCTTACATTATGTGGAGCAAGGTTTTTTGATTTTCTCAATGACAACAGGTGACCTAGACCTGGGAGTTAAACAACCGGTTAAACATTTTACAATTAGGACTTTGTATGTGAAAAGGGAGCAAATTTGCTGCTCCATGGCTTGTACACGTTTAATTGATCACTATTCTCCAGCTAACTTCAAATGCTACACCTGGTTAGATGATGCGGAGCGATTTTGAGCCAAATGTGAAATGACCGAAGCAGGGTTATTCCGTATATGACAAGGGAAAAAAAACGGCAATTTTAGGTACAAAAAAAAGCTTGCTACATCCAATTCATTTTATATCACACACCTTACAGTATATTTCTAAAACCATCAGGACAGGTGTAGAGTCTGTGAAAAAGTTACTTTATGTCTGGTGACTGAGCAATAAAAAGAACCTTATGCTCCACATAAAAATAAGAAATTTCCACAAAAAAAGATTCTTGAATAATAAATAAGTTCTTCATATCACCTGCATGGAACGCAGCGCTTCAATGGTGTCCCGGGCATTGCACATTTCTGACTAAAAAACTAAAATTAAAGCTGCAAGCAGCATCTACTGTAACAGCCCTCGCCGCTTCGCCCCAAAGGAGGTGACCATACAGAGTTAATACGTTGTTGGCTGCAATCACAACAGCAAGTCATTTGGGGAATGACTGTTCAAATTCAAGTTTTTATGCTTAAGGAAATCAAACACTCATCCCTGTCCCTCCTGAAGAAAACCACCCCCATAACATAATCCTGCCGCCCCTATATTTGATACTGGGATGGTGCAGTGAAGATGATAAGCAGTGTTGATTTTGAGCCATTAAGTAACATTTTGAATGTATGAAAAAAAAAAGTGGTCTCATCTGACCTGAATTTGGAATCTTCTTCCTCATGTTGAATGTGGAAGAATGCCTTGTAGTGTATGAATAATGTTACCCCATGCACAGATTCCCTAGGTGAGCTGTGGATGTCTGCAGCTCCAGCAGAGTAATCATTGATCTCATTTGACCACATCTGTGGTTAGTGTTGTCCTGGTTGGAGCCGTGAACTTGGGCAGACAGCCGTGTTTTTGTAGAAATCCGGCTGCGATTCAGACCTCTTGCTGACATACCCGGCCAGTGAAACTCTCCGCCAACCGTGCAGCCT